GAGTGGAAAGAGGCACTGTGAGAGTAAAGTGTCTTGCCCAAGAACACAATACAATGTTGCCAGCCATTGTTTGAGCCGAGACTGCTTGGGGTAGAAGAGTTATACAAAAATCAAATAACAGGTTGTTTACACAAACTGCTTATAACTTTTAAAAGGGATAATAATTAATTTTGATTGGAACTGCAACATTGTTATTAATTAAAATCAACTTGNGGCCCATCAGGCCGGAGCTTATCCCGGTTTCTGTAGCATGAAGCGACTAGGAGTATTTCTACTCTCCCCTGGATGGGATCCAAGCCCCCCCCCCCACACACACCAACGTTAAATTAGCCAGAACCTATTTCTACACCTGAGTGGAAAGTGGCACTGTGAGAGTAAAGTGTCTTGCTCAAGAACACAATACAATAACTAACCCAGCCAGTGCTCGAGCCCAGACTGGTCGAAATAGAAAAGTTATACAAAAATAAAATAACACGTTGTTTACACAGACTGCTTATAAATTTTAAAATGGATAATCATTAATTTTGATTGGAATTGGAACATTGTCATCATATTAACTTGTACTTGATGTTGTGTCAAAGAGTATCGACAGTCTGTTTCAAAATGAAATCATTAAATGAGAGTTCACCATATTTACCAGTCAGCCCAAAATTAACAATATAATATATGTATCTAAGTCGGCAGTGCATTTCCGGTCAAGGTAAATTGGTTATGGTCCTTGTTCAGTTAACATTAGGAAACAGCTGCATAACAATAATCATTATTATGCAAAAATTACAGTACATGATTTTGAAATTTATTTTACACAATCAACTTGAGAATGCCAGGATAGCAAAGAGTATTTTGCCCACTTTCACTTAAGTGAGAAACGGATATTGGCAAAATCTTGTTTCTTTTAAGCTAAGTCAAACATAAACAATTTGTAAAAATATTGAAGGACCGTAGCCAGGGTTAAGCATAATAAAAATTAAAAAACGATCTCTGGCTAAAAATGTTTACAGATATACGAGCTTTCGACTGTTAGATCTACAGTCTTCGACGGGTAAAGATGAATGATGAAATATGAATACAAATGAGTAAAAATTTGATTGTAGCTTGCAGGTAAATAAGAAATCTATAGAAAGAAGAGTACTTCCTTCAATATTATAAGAATCATTTCAGACAGTTTTGTCTCAATCAGGAACCTGAGGTGAAGCGAATGTTTTTATTTACAATTTATAAGTTTTTTTTTACTACAGAACTATGTCCATCGGGAGGAAGAAGGGAAGTCACAAAGTTTTATACAAGGAGGCTCTGTCCCAAGGTCAAAGACCTATCCATTTTACAGTGTTTTTGACAGGAAAGGCTTTCCTTTCATAAACATGTAGCTTCTATAGCCTGAAACCCCTTTTAAAAACCTAATGTGGCCTCACTAGATCTTATTTCTTGGATAAATAATCAGTTAATGTTTGAAATCCCTGTCCTATTAAGTCTTACGATACCTCCAGCCTGAAAAAAATTGCAGCTTTAGTCAACTGAAGGGAGAAGTCCCCCAGCTCGATGCTATACAATAATACACTAGGGTACTACATATTATAGTGTATGCAAGTAAAATAACAATAATTTTCTTTCTTGGAGACAAAAGTCACGGTATTTTATTCCTATATATCCTGGTAATTGTTTGTGCAAATCTCACTAGCAATGCAGTAACATTAAAAAGGATTACAGATATGTCTCTTCAAATAGATTCTTGCAAAGATTACAGAACAAACTTATGTTGACAAGTATCAAGCATTCTCTTCTCCATAACTCAAGTTCTGATTTCATTTTGTTTAAATCTGTCATTTCTAGGAGCAAAACAGAAAACACTCTACATCACCAGTCATCATGCGTCCGGCTTGTGTTTGACACAATTAGACGGTATATCTTTCTCGCCAAAAAAAATTGATCTAGACAGTCTCTTGGACTTAATTTGCCCATCCATCACTGAAATATTTCAGTGTATGTTTACGGCTCAATCGTACATGTAGGTTGACTTGCATATCATCTGTGAAGAAATTTTCACTCCGGTCGAACTGCATGGAATACAAAAGAAATGTAGTGTGAACGACAACAAAACTAAAAGATAAGGCAATTCGAATTTTTTTCCCTAAGTATTTCAAAACAAGCTTACAAATTTCGAACTTGCGATACTAACACAGGCAGAATTTAAATGTGTGTATACAAAAAAAAAAAGATAAAGAACAATGAAACCAAAACGTAACAAGAATTTAAGCTTACCTTGGACTCCACAAGGAGAGAAAGCGACTGAAAACCATCAAATTCTCTTTCCAAGAAAAAAGCTACGAGCTTAAATTTCCCCCATATGCTAATCACGATCTCACTTCCCGGGCCTCTTGTATCAATTCTTTGACCTCGCCGACCATGTTGTTGTGAACGATACATGACCACAGTCATAAATACCTCTACCAGCTTTCATATACGTGTGAGCAAAAGCTACCAGGCAAAAAACAACATATTTACGAAAGAAAAGCACATGAAAACCAAAATGGCCGACTTCAATCTAGTGCCCAGGCTCTCAATTTACCGGACAAAAATGTACGCCTTTCAGTCCCCCATCGTCAAAAAATCTTCCTGAAGACGACTGAACACTCTTGGACAAAAACAATACTTAGCTGGGGAAGTAGGACAAAATTATTTAAGCGAAGTTTAATGAATAAATTAATCAGAATCGAGTGAGTGCCATTAGACTGCCTTCTAAGTTCATGGAAGATTACGTCATCCATGAGCAACAAAGACGTTGAGTGTAATTCCCAAGAACTGCAATGCCGTTTTAATCGGCGATGGTGAACAAATACAAATTATGGAAGCAGAAGAGGACACTACCGTACAGTGTTTCAGTAGACCAGCTTTTTATGAGGAGGAAAGTCAACACAAATCGAACAACTCATCTGGTGAAATATTACTGGATGTTGAGCCATCACCACCTGTCGTAAGAAAGCAAGTTTTCCTTAACGGACCGCAATGTGAAGATGTCCTCAAAAACCTTGAGCTTTTACAGGACAATGGAAAGTTTCAGGACCATCAACGTATGTTTAATTTCTTCCTTCAACGATGCGTGAAAAAAGGCAACAAAGACATGAAAGCAAATAAACAACAAATTCCAAATGAAGAACATTGCAACCAAGTATTCAAAAAGTTTCAACTTTTTCAGGAAAACGGATGGCTGAAAAAAGATGTCCAACTGTTCTCTCTGTACTCGAGACTTTCTGCAAAAAAAGAGTACGCTAACATGGTACTAGCCCTAATAATTGAACAAGGAGTATCATTCATATACCACAAACAACTCAGCAAAAACAAGCTCTACCTCACTTTAGTCATAGAAATCGCAGAGCATTGCAAGCTAAGAAATCCGAACATTTTAATTGCAAGGGCCTATGTTTTACTTGCAGCCAACGATAGTTCTACGGCTAGTAAGACCAAAATCGTTTCAACCATTTTGGAATGTCTAAGACGAAGCGAGGCTTTACTACAAAATTACGATTCGCCCGAGGACTGGGCCGAAATTTACCACCATTTCGGTATAGTCTGGTTGAATTACATGCGCATGGTCCCAGATGACGAGAGAAATGCAAAGGCGCGAAAGGAAATGTAAGAAAAAGCAAAAGCTTACTATGAACGGGCGATTGCAATCTGCAAGAAAGACCCTCGCTCAAGGGTTCAACTCAAGAGGCTAACATACCGCCACCTTGGTCTTGCAGCCCTCTTACTTGATTGTTCCTCAACTATCGCTAGAGCTCGAATAAAAGTAATTCCATGACAAGATATCAAAGATGCGACAAAACACTTAGACATGGTAGAGTATGAACTTGGTGACATTCCTCGAGGTACACGCGTGCAGATTCTGAAAAGGCGTTCTGACCAATACTATCGTTAAGGATCTGAAATGTAGCAACTGTCAAGAGAAACTGCCCAGGATGCATTGCAATTAGCACGCCACCATGGATTTAACGCTGAACTGGACTCGCTTCAAGAGCAAATCAATTTTCTCAATCACTTGTGTGAAGACACAGTGTGCACAGAAAGAATTAAGCTCCTTGTTGATGGCGATACATCAAGTTCTGGCAGTGATTCCAGATTTGAAACAAGCTGCAGCGAATCTGACGAGAATCCGTCAAAAAACGATTGATCCGCGAGTTGATCCGCTCAGAAGCTATTGATCAGAACGAGGTCCCAAAAATAGTTTAGTATGACCCACCGGCAACCCTGATATAAGACTGTAACAATATATTCTGCCCTCATCCTCGACAATAATTAATTAAACAATATAACAGGGATAATATAGATATGCGTAAGTATAAAGGTTTAAAGGGACGGTTTCAAAGCTAAGCACATCTACAAACTATCACGTTAGCCCATTTGTTTCCATAGTTAATAAGTTAATCAACGGTAACGGACTGTCGCGAAAACGCTGTGGTAGAGGTAGTATCTCTATTACAATTCCTTTTTCATGTCCTAACTCCGAAATATCCCTCAATTCCATTGTTTACCAACCAATCGGCTGCTGGTAGATAGCTTTTGAGTGTGTCCAGAATAAGTCCTTCAGCCCGAGTAATAAATACAATTTTTAAAAATAAATTCAGCATTTTCCGCGTCATGGCATTTCACGCCAAACCGTGAAACCATCCTTTGAATTTCTACAGTTTTGTTGTCCACATTATATAATGAACAATAAAGTTCCAAAACTAGCAAGTCTAGTCACGATATATTTGGGTTTTTTAGCAGCTTCTCCTTGCTCATTCCTACTTGCGTACCTTCACATGAATTTGGAACACAATCCCCTCTCAGCAAGTTCAGTATTGCTGTAACTTCACTCACTTCCGTGACACTTCAAACGCGTCAATGAAGTGGTTGGATAACTAAATGATGGACAAGGGACTTTTCCCTTTCAAGGCTTTCAAGACTTAAACTTTTCTTAGAGCGACGAAGAATTCTAAACACATCGCTACTTTTTGGTAAATACTTGAAATAAAATATACGCAGGACGAATATTAAAAATGAAAAATGTAAATATGTGATGCATCATAAATTCAGGGACTTTCCCTTTCACCAAAGTCTATAATGACTGGCTATCCTGATGATTCTTTGTTTCAAGCAATCAAATCATTGATCCAAAATAGCATATACTGTCGGATGTGACAGACAGTAATCAATGCCAATTTCAGAAGTGTTTTCACAGCGAAGTTCGTGGAGTCGCTCTCGTTCATGTTCTTAGTTAACTACAAATTGCTCTCGCCAACTTGCTTCTCCGCAGCACCCACGGTGAGCGCTTATTTTAATCGATGGAGAACGTAAATGTGAAGTCTGTGAAGTCTAAGGAACTTACATGTTGATGCAAGTCGATCTCGAAAGGAAAACTACATCGATCATACTTCATGTCATGAATCGAACAACAAAATTGCTTGAAAGATCTTAGAAATCTGACAAGGTAAGATTAGTAATATTCTTCTGGTACGTGAGGCATATAGATGGTACATGAACAGACGGTAAGAACGTCCGGCGACCGTGCAGCAGGGCATAGGTTCGACTTCTCTTCAGAGAACTCGGAATGTTTTTTCCGGGAAGCTTATCTACTGACTGACAAAAATATCATTCTCGTATAACGATATACCGAGATTAATATCAGTGTACCGCAACCAACAATGTCAAGACAAGTACACTGTCAAGCGAGAAGCGGGTGAGGTGAAAGAAATTCGTGAAGAGGGTGATATTGCCTTGATGTGAAAAAAAGAACACATTGTAACTTAAGTTGTTGATTAGCGTTCTGGAAATTTCCATTTCAAGTTAACAACGTTGCAAGTCATCCAAACAAAGCAGGCTATCATGTGTGTCGAATTTTTTATTTCACAACTAAATACTGCTTTACCTTGTGTCGTTTATTCGCTCTTTAAGAAAACTTTTCTTTGTTGTTGTTTGATGTAGAGGAAGAGTGATTTTGTAGCTTTATAAAGAACATCCTTTAAATTGCGACTGTAGTAAAAAAACGTGGTAATTCCATGAAATTGCAGTCAATACCAGCGATATGACAGGATCAGACACGTTCCATAAGGACTTTTCATCAAACCTGATAGGAAACGTGTCCAATGCTAGCAATATCCAAGGTGATAGCATAAATGAAATAACTTCTCTTCAAGAGCAAAGATTACATTAATTCCAAACTTTTCAGCAGACAAAATACTCGCCGCTGGTCTTATAGGTAGAGGGGGGNGGGGGATAAATACTTGGTTTGAAGGTGAATTTTCACCGACCTACTTATTCTCTATTGCTTCTTTGTTTTTTTAAGAGGAAGCCATTGTCACTTGAAGGAAGTATAGACATTTCATTTTCCATTCTGGACAACAGAAACAGATTCAGAAAGCTTTCTAGCGACGTGACCCAAGAGAAACTTTCCGAATATGACAACCAAACACAAACAACCCAAAACTGCACACTCAGCAACTGTGACAGATTCAGTTCCCAACGAGACTGGAGCAACGGGTCACCACTCATCTGTTTCCGACCAGATATTATTCATTTTTCCTGACAATGACCTCACCCCAACAATTGCACAAGCAAGAATCGACACGAATTCTAAAGCAATGGACTTGAGTCTTGCCAACTGCAACCTTGCTGTCTGTGGCCAACCTGGCACTGTACATCATTCTGATTGTCACTTGCTCAGCAAAAATCGAGGCGAAGGCGATCTGAGGCAAGCAGATAGCTACGTTAAACAAATACAGCCAATGGAAGCAGAAGCGGACAGTACAGTGCAGTGTTTAAGTAGACCAACTGTCTCTGAAGAGGAAAGTCAGCAGAAACCGAGCAATTCATCTGGTGAAATGATACTGGATGTTGAGCCATCAATACCTGTCGTGAGAAAGCAAGGTTTCCTTAATGGACCGCAATGTGAGGATGTCCTCAAACACCTTGAGCTTTTACAGGACAGTGGAGCGTTTGAGCACCATGAGCGCATTTTTAATTTCTACCTTCAACGATTTGTTGAAAAAGTCAGCAAAGGCATGAAAGAAATAGCAAACGAACAACAAATTCCAAATGGAGAACACTGCAACCAAGTGCTCAAGAGGTTTCAACTTTTCCAGCAAAACGGACAGCTAAAAAAGGATGAGCAACTGTCCTCTCTGTACTCGACACTTTGTACAAAAAAAGAGTACGCTGACATGGAATTAGCCTTAATAATTGAGCAAGGAGTATCATACTGGCTCCACAAACAACTCAGCAAAAGCAAGCTCTACTTCATTTCAGTCATAAAACTCGCCGAGCATTGTCAGCTACGAAATCCGAACATTTTAATTGCAAGAGCCTATTTTTTACTTGCAGCCAACTATAGTTCTAGGGCTAGGAAGACCAGGAAAGTTTCAAGCGCTTTGGAATGTCTAAAACGAAGCGAGGCGTTACTACAAAATCACGAGTCACCCGAGGACTGGGCCGAAATGTACTGCACTTTAGGCTCTGTCTGGTTAGCTTACATGAGCATGGTCCCGGATGACGACAGGAATGCTAAGCCGCGAAAGGAAACGCAAAGAAAAGCAAAAAATTGCTATGAACGGGCGATTGCAATCTGCAAGAAAGACCCCCGCTCAAGGGTTCAACAAAAAAAGCTAACATATTGCCACCTTGGTCTTGCAGCCCTCTTACTTGATTGCGCTTCAACTGTCGCTCGAAGTCGAATAAAAGTAATTCCATCACAAGATCTCAAAGATGCGACAAAACACCTTGATATTGTAGAGTACGAACTTGGTAACATTCCTCGAGGTACACGCGTGCAGGTTTTGAAAACGCGTTCTGACCAATACTATCGTCAAGGACCTGAAATGTATCAACTGGCAAAAGAAACTGCCCAGGATGCTTTGCAAATGGCACGCCGCCATGGATTTAACACCGAACTGGAGTCGCTTCAAGAGCAAATTGATTTTCTCGATCAGTTGTGCGAAGACACATTGTGTAAAGAAAGAATTAAGCTGCTTGTTGATGGCGATACCTCAACTTCTGACAGTGACTCTAGATTTGAAACAAGCTGCAGTGAACCCGACGAGAATCAGAACTCGCTGTAGTTCTGGGTCGAAACCGGCAGCCATCAAAATCAGTCCCAGTAAGGTTTCCGAAAATATGATCGTCCTACAAACTTGATATAAGATCATGGACACAAAATGCAACAATACTTTCCACCCTTCGGTAGTCCTTAATAAAACAATGATTCAGATACAGGAATATCATAAATACGCGTACGTGTAGTAAGGTTGTTGTTAATTTTGAAGTTTTGTATTATCTAATAAACAATAAAGTTCCAAAGTAACAAGTCTATCAACAGTATTTTGGCAGCTTTTCCTTGCTGTTTGCTACTTGAGTACCTTTACAGCTTTTCAGCCGGGAATCTACTTAAGCCACATTTAAAACGCGTCAATGAAAGACAGCGGAATTTGAAGTGGTTAGATAACTCAATTATGGAAAAGGGAATTTACCTTTCAAGGTTTTGGAAACCTTTGTATATTTGTTCGTTTTTGTACAGTTATTTAACTTGCAAATATGAATCACGAATAGTCTTAGCGTCACTTCGGTTTCACTGCAAGGGTATAGCTATATAGATATTCTGCTTCGCCGAGGGAAAAAGACATCGTTTTTCTCCTATTGGCTCTGCTTCCAGCGAAAAAGAATTCAAAACACGTTAGGACACTGAGTTGTGAAAGACTTTTTTGTCCACGTGGTACATGCAGCGGCTTTGATACAAGTATTCTAAACACTGAATCCTTGAGGTTATTTCAACGCATATCAATAAGCAGGAATCCGACTTTCTCGGAGACTAAAATATCTCGGAAGTTCCATGGTATGTTGTTGATGACCAACAAGACCGATAATACCGATTAAAAGTGGTCATTACACGCACCGTCTTTACCACTCATCGGGAAAACAAAACAGTTGCGCGACGGCGCCGGCATTTCATATTATCAGCTACTATCGTAAGAACTTATCACACAGGGAGGCCATTGAAAGACAAAAGACTTAATATAACTCACTTGTTTGGTGGAACCAATTAATTACACCAAATTCAAGAAAATAAGTTAACATACAGACTTGTTTTTCAGTTAAGAGAAAGAGAAATTTCCCTCACGCGAAATGACTGAAAAAATAATTATGACATATAGGTGGCCCGCCTACGCATGCAAATCACATGAGATCATGCCCGCTTTTATACTTTACACTCCAGCCACATTCATTTTTGAGCGTTTAGTCACTGCATATGTTGCCTCGATAAGAATAAATAGCTATGTAAATGTCGACCTCTTTAGCCTCTGTATGTCTTGATGTAGATGTAAGTATGTACATGAAATAGCAAAGACTATCGAAATGAGATCAATATCAGCATGCAAGGGATAATCATGTTTAGCAGTACTTTCAAGTGAACAATAATTTTTACCCTTTCCTCTAGGGCCACGAACACTGCCACAGCTCATCGGTCCTGACCAATTTGATGATCGACAAACAAACCAGCGCGGAGGAGGAAACCGAGAAAAGCCAAGCTTAACAGTCTTACTCCATCAGTTGTCCCTCCAACCTTTTACAAGAATCATGTCGTAATCACTGGTCAGCTAGTCGGAGTCCCGCACAGACAAAGCTGTGCTCGCCATAACTACTGGGATCCCAGTGCGAACAACGAAGCGGGGTCAAAGAATCGTATTCCGGAGTCCGAAGGAACATCTGCAACGAAACACGAGATAGTTTGCAAAGATAAACCTGGAATCCCGCAAAAATACAACGCACGTGTGGAAAGTGACACATCCATAACGATCAAGGCTCATCAGGTGTTAGATGTAGATCGTCCACTTCCAATGATTACGAAACAGGGATATCTGAACGGCAAGCAATACGAAGAGATCATTGAAAAACTAGTAGACCAGCAGGACAATGCGAAATTCAAAGAGCATGAAACTTTAGCGATTGCAAATTTGAAACTCTGATGAGAAAAACAAAATTTCGACATGGAATTGGCTCTATTATTAGAGCGAGGAGTTGCATTTTCTTACCACAGGGAATTCAAGAGAAGCAGAAAACTTTTTAACTCTATTATCAACAAAACAGCTCAGCATCCACTTAGTAATGAACATCTTTTGATGGCAGGAGCTCACAACTTGATCGTGGACAATTCCGTCGACAGGTTCAGGGTAGTAACAAAAATACAGTCCATGCAAGAATGCCTGGAAAAAAAGTCAATTATTACTTCAGAATGTTGACTCACCACAAGACTGGGCAGAACTATATTACGCCAGCGGAAATCTTGGCCTGACTCACATGAGCACAAGTCCCATATCCGTGAACGAAGGTACGCACAGGCGCGCAGAGCTGTTCAAGATGATGCCAAACATAATTTCTAGCTGGCAATTTCATGCTGTAAAAAGGATCCCCGTGAGCGAATTCACACCAAATTATAACGATACTGTCATCTCAAAGTTGCACAGCCGCCTCTCGATACCTGTTCCACTGCTGCGTTGCATCAGCAAAACGTTCTCTCGTCGGAACGAATTGAAGAAGCGAAGCAGCATCTGGATTTCGTGGAGCGTGAACTCGGAAACGG